TCATTGCATATTGAGTGAACGTGATACATAAAAACTTCTTGGAATTTCGTTTTTAAGCCTTGAACATTTTATCAAATTTACAGTTTGACAGTGGGTTTTATTCCAACGATTTCGCTTGAATCATGGGCTATTTTTATGTCGAAAAAGAAAGGCGTAAAGATTGGCGATGATAATTTATGTATGTTATTCACTTCATCGCTCACTATTAGTGAGTCACTAATAAAAGCGAAAAAGATACATATATGGTTGTTGTTGCTGCAACAACTTGATTATGATTTTCCATGGAATGGAGTTGTTTGTCTTTTCGTCGATCGCATTAATTTCGATTTAACGTCAGTGTTATTTCAAGTTTATTGCCAATTCAATTGAACTCATTACAATAGCAACCTCATTGGCGGGCACATCTACCCATTATTTTGTCGTCGCTATGCATTTCCACACATTCCATAATTACTGTACGGTCGTAAATTCACCGTATTAAATCCATTTTCCATACTTATCGTTGACGTTTCAAATTTCGAATTATTTTTGGCGACGTTAAGTGTTCGTCTTGATTCATTCACGATAAAATAAACCGCTTGAAACGAGAGTTAGAGCACATCAAGTAATTGACCTTTGTATCAAGAGGATGATAATGGATTTCGTTGAAATGATGCCTGTGTTTGATCTCAATTTTGAACATAATAACAAATAAAACGAAAGCACAGTATTTACGTCAAACGAAAGTATTCTTATCGTTTATTTAACCAGTTCAATTCACAATTGCTCGCAATAATTATCATTAATATCTATTTCTTTTCATGCACATTTTCTCTGACCATTTGTCGTCATTCTGTGATCTAAGCACTTTCAGTGTAAGAAAACAGATAAAGAGAGACTGAAAATAATACAGTTAGAGTCCGCCAACTCGATGTGTTGGCAATTATGGACCAATTTATATCCACATTACACAGTTGCCATCAGCTTTTCTTTCTCTCCCTCTCCCACGTTTTCTCTTCTATCCATCTGTTCACTTTTCATACTTTTGCTCTGTTAATTGAATTAATGAGAATCCATAGAAATCGATACATACGGCTACATATGGGGACGATAGATTCAATGTCGTTTCTATGGCGAAAATTTGTTCAAGGCAGAAAATTTGATAGAGCTGAAGGAAATGGCAACTGTCACTGAACAAGAAATCTCATGTTCAATTCAAAACAAATAGATAACAAACAATTCAGTGAAATGAAAACGATTTTCGTAATGTACGGCAAGGAAAACCGGCGAGGAAAACATGGATTTCGCTCATGGGAATAGAAATTCGATACATGCCAAAAATTCGTGTAATTTGAAACACATGCCAAAATGAGATGGTTCACTTTCGCCACATAAATATAGACCAACAATCATATAGCATTAAGAATTCAAACGACTACCATAAAATCCAATCAGGCACATGATGGCAACTCCTTTGCCATGAAAATAGCTGAGTTGAATACCGAGATTTGGATACACGGTACGTGCACATAGGCATGTTTGAGAACACATTTATTTTTCTTTTGTCGTGAAAATTCCGTTTTCGCCGGTTTTCTCCGACCGAAATTCTTCAAATTATTGACGGTACACCATATTGTTTATTATCATGAGAACATATGCGTTGAACATGAATTAATCCAAGAAAATCTCATATCACTCTGTTTTTTTTTTTCTTCTGCCTTGACAATCCGTGATAAAAACTTTCGTATCAGCGTATTATTTAACATATGTGCGATGATGAGAATCGAGCCCCCATTTTCATTTCCTTTCGAAACGTGTATATATTTTTTTGTTGTGTCGCAATCAATGTTTTTGTCACCGATGCTGTGTTAACACACGCTCATTCTATCGCAGCAGATATAGCTCAAAATAGAAATTGTATTCATCGTTGTCGCTCACATTGCATTTAATCTATGCATAATCTCATCTGAATGCGCTTTCGTTTATTGTATGCCGCACTCCAAAAGAGAGACACAAATAATGTTTTGTTGGCTGTTGTCATTATCTTAAATCATAACATGGCTAACTAACACATAATCACGTTACATTTACATACACAGAGAATGAATAAAAATGACTTCCATTCTTTGGCATTAATTTTTTTCAAACGTAGGTACTGTCCATTCAAACTACAACTTGAATAGAGTGTGTGTATCACGATGCAATTGCGCATATACTCATACCACAGATCCGCTTTTAAATATATAGAAAATACACAATATTATACTGAAGAGTTACGTGTGACTTTGAATATTGCTGTTGCTTTGTTTGTTGATTGTTTGTTTACCGAATCGCAAAAAAAAACGTCTTCAACTTCATTCAAATGTAAATGAGAGTGAGTATTTTTTTTTCATTGTGCATGACATTTCAATTTACATTGAACAAAAAAAAACACCTCTTATTCTGAGTATGAACGTTATTCAAAAATGTCATCAATTTAATTGATTGCTGCAGTAGCTCAAACCACAAATGATTCTAAGCATCTTGCAAAAAGAACAGGAGACGCAGAGACGACACGATAAAAAAAAATGACATGACCATGAATGTGGCACATTTACAAAATCAACACGCTCATGAAATAAAATAAGCATTCGCAAGTGTTAAGTGATAAATAAAATACGATGGACTTTGTGTTTGAATAATTTTTTTTGTGTGTGCCAGCAACCAAAAAATGCACAACAAAAACGATACATAACTTAATGTGTATGGCAACTAACGTCTATGTTATTTGAGGAAAAGATGATATTTCGTTCGTCACAAACGAATTGAAACAGTCGCCGTTGTTTTAATTAATATTTATGGAGGTTCGATGTTTCCTCTATCATTAATTATGTATGTATACTTAACATAATTCGCAAGTACAGCACACGCGAATGTGAGCTATCGCCGCCTCTGCTGCTGCTGATGCTGTCTCTGCTTGGCATGAGTCAAGAAATCAAGAGAAACAATGACTGATATATATAACGGTCGTCGCCGCTTATTCTTCTCCATTCTGTTACACTTTTTTCACTACTCGCTGGCAATTTCTGGTTTCATTTTATGGTTTCGCACATAAATTTCACACTGTACACAGTGTACACGCAAATGATATTTGTATTCAGCGACACATTTTACTTGATGAAAATTCATATTGTTGAAGATGAATGAGTCAAATAAGTGAAGCTTTTTTTCATCATCATCATCATAATCATAAACTCTTCGTTTTAATTCAAGCAAATGTGTTGAAATTCCAACAAAAATGTGGAGTTAAAGACATGTGGAAAAACGGGTTATATACTTGTAATGGTTTTCTTCGGGTTTATTTTTTCTTCTTCTTTCATTTCTTTCTCTCTAACTCGACCATAAAAGTGCAAGAATGTATGGTAGTACTTTCAGCTTGAAACGATGAGAATGTGCAAAGAAATCAGAAATTACTTTTTCATGGAATTAGTATAATAAATAGAAGTGATTTGTGTTCGTACACAGAATGCCAAATGCTTGCAAAAATTGATAGTGAATACTTTATTTTGCGCTGTATCTGTACATGTATGCTTGTGTGTGTGCACGTGAATGTGTTTACAGTGATTAGAATTGACAAGTGAACACAGTTTTGTTGAATTCAATGAAGTAATCAATTTGTATTTTGTTTGTGTTACATTAAACAAACTGATTGACAATGTGCTCAAAGTCAATTTGTACATAGACTCGGCGATTGTATTAAGTAAAATATATTCGTTTTGCCTTGAAATACGAAAATGAATTGAAAATACCTAGAATTTTGACTTCATATATTGCTTGATGGTTATTTTTCGGCATAGACGACTTACAAACAACAGAAAAAAGACATTGCATGTTTTTATTGTTCGTTTTTTTGCTCTCTTCTTCTTAATAGAATATCGAGTACATTGTACGGTGTTGATATGTATTGAAAGACCGCAAGCATTTTCTGATTGAGGAATGGCAAGAGAACAGATGGGAAAGAGAATCGTGTCAGCGTCAAGTTTACCGTTGTCTGAGTGTTCGGTATATGTGTTCTCTAGAACGCAGAGTATCAACGACTCTTTGTTCCCGCTGTAATACACATTCAAGTGCGAAAAATAATTGAGCACGATGTTAAACTTTTTTTTAATCAACATTCCCGCCCATTCGATTTGTGACTTTTCTCCATCCGCCACTCGTGTAACATTCGATCGATTTTCAGTTTCTTTCTCTACCCTTTGGTTCATCATGTAATCTAAGCTTTAAAAGAAACCGAGGCAAAAAGTGTGTTGTTGAATAACGTTAAATGAGTATATCTCTTGTTTATAAGTATAAAGCTCGCTTTAAATGAATGAAGCCAATGCTCTATATGAAAACGGTTTCGGTATCGATCGCTATCATGTGTGTCTGAGTTTCGTTTTTTCAGACAGAGTCGAGACAAATGCAAATAAAGTACTCGAAAAAATCATGAAAATTTCCATTTCCTACTGTTTGACTGTATCAATTTCAAAATCCATTTATGCAATCAACAAAAAACCAATTGAAGTTCAGAATTTCCAATTCATAGATACAAAAAAAAATATTGGGCGAAAGATTGTCGGCTTTCTTTTAATCATCGTCAAATTTATGTATTCAAATATTTGCTCAATGACACTTGGAATGTGGCAACTCTTGAAGAAAGCATTTTGAATGTGTGGCATCAAATGTTAATGTAGCAAACTAGGAACAACCACAAAATCATCTCGTTCCAGTAAAATAAACATGATGAAAGTACACCGACGAAGAAGCCGCAGGCATTCAATAGGTTAGAATCAAAGAGAATTATTCATAAACGAAATGTGCATTCAACAGTAAAGGAATCAAAGGTCATATCGAAGTTTTTCAGTCCAAGACAATATATTTTCAAGGTAAAAGTGCTCCACCATTCAGTGATAAGAGTGAGTGGGTGAGCTATTGCTATCATAAAGGGGTGCTATTAAAACTGAAGTGAAAAATCAATATAAAATAAAATTGCATATACTCACCACGACGGTGTTGACCACGGTTACGTTTGAATTGCCGATTTGAGCTCTCCATGGATCTCCCGAGTTGGCTAACGGCATGTTATACAGTTCGCATTAACAAATTGTTTGACACACACGCACACTTCACCGAATAATTCGTTGGGAAAATTGGTGTTCATTAAATTAAACCAAAAAAAAAAGCAACTGTACCATGTGACGAATTCACACGCGAATTTACCAACCCAATACACTTTTCACAATAAACAAAACTCTCTCCAGTCGACAGTGTCAGAATTTTAATAACAAAAAAAATACGTCATTCCAATGTTAGGTGAATCGCGTGTGCTTATTACTTTCTGCTAAATTTCGCTTTGTTTTATAAATTTATCATTTTTGTGGGTCGCGGTCGTTGATTACAGCATTATTATTCACAGCTGGCCACGTATTTTTCTGACATAATCCGTTTTGCTATTGTTGCGTCCTTTCGTTTTTTTTCTTTTTTTCTTCACACACACACACACACACACACTTGCGATGCTATTAGAATTAATATTTATTCTTTGTTCAAGTCAAGGATATTTGCATCGTTGTCAATAATGAAAAAAACTTTTTCGTCTCGTACTTATTTATATTTTATATGCAAAAACCGCAGCGTGTTTTATATTAAAGTTCACATGAAATAACCGATCACATAAATTATTATTTAACCGTACGGTGCAGCCAATGTGTGATTCGTTTGTGCCTTTTGGACTGTTTCTATTCTTGTGCTGGCCCCTGAATTGAGAGATTGAAAGAGAAAAAGAAAAGAAAAGAGAAAACATGTATCAAAACAAAAATTTATGTCTGTCGCGAGCGCGCGCTCATGTCGCTATTTTCATTTCCAATTACGTTGAATCGTTCATTTAATTTTGGTTGTGTTATAACTTTGTTTGGCATCGACACGCGAAAGAATCGTATGTGCATACAATTCATTCACATCCTCAATTTGTAAAAAACACGATTTACGTTGGCGATGACGAAGACGGTGGCGGCAACGATATACTACTCGCACACCGCAAAACCAAAATAGAAAAAACGATGAGCGAAACAACAACGACAAAAAACTTTCACTTCAAACTCAATAAAGACAACCACACAAATTCAAATGCAACAATTTTGTGCATAGAGAAAAGATAAGCAGATTTCAGCGAGAAAATAAGAAAACATCGACAATTTTTAATTCGAGATCGTCGACACGGCTGGTGTGCAATGTGCATGCAGAGTCAAAACTGACGAATGAAACGGCGCTTGAATTGTGTGTAAAGCGGATGCCGTATGTTTATGATTTTTCGGAATTTCCCGATTTATCAATTGATTCACTTCATTCGAGCGCAGGAAATGAATTTCATTTGAGTTGAAAAAAAAAGAAACACTCACATCAGTTTCGGTTCTATAATACAATTTAAAAATGACGTACTTGTTTCGGTTGATGATTGAATTCTATTTGATTTCACTAAATGTTCATAAAAATCCAACTTAATTACAAATACATTTCACTTCTTCACTTGACGGCTGTTATTGTGCGCAAACAAAAACACTCTCACACATCACAAATACACTGGATTTTGTAAATATTGATAAACAATGTTGATAAAAAAATGGTGTAGTTTTTCGGTTGTCAAACGATAAAATCTATCAAAGAGTTCCCATCTGCATTGCTACAAAAGGGAGAAGTATCTTTTTGTCAGAAGAAAAAAAAAAACTAGAAAATATTGTATATGTTCGACTGAGCTTCTATATTATTAGCTTCCAATTATGACAGCAGTCGCATAAGAACTGAGTCCAATGGATGATTTCATGGATGGAAATACACACAGATTTTGTGCTGCTGGTCGACATCAAACCGACAGCGAATGCGTATGCATGTATATGTCTATGTATGTGCGTGTTGCGTGTATGTGTGAACAACATCGAAACACAAATTGGAAATGTTTGCGCGCAATTGTCGTCGTAGAGAGATGTGAGTGAAATCTGTGGAATGTTGGTTCGTTAGTGTGCGTATGTTTATGCGATTTTCAATTGAAAACAAAAAAACTAATACATGAACACCGACATCCATACAATCGCATCGAATGAATGTCAGGCAGCAATGACGTATGGAAGTGAATACAAAACAGAACGAAAATCATTCGTCGTTGGGGCTTTCGAATGGGATTTTTGTGTGCTTTATATTTTTGAACGTAAGTTCCAGTCGTCAGATGGCGTTGTAATACATTTCTGATTCAAACATTCAAAATCAGCTGTTCGTAATTTGGCCTCGTACATTAGCGTAGTAGCATCACAGTGGTGTAGACATTGTGTTACCGTTTCGTGACTGTTAATATCAATACAGTTCGTTTGTAATCCGAATTGTTGTTGCTATTGCCGTTTGATGAGAGAATATACTGACAAGATGTGATGCAAAACTGAAATGTGAATATAATATGCACCGTAATAATTGTGCGTTGAACCATTCCATTATCGCAACTAGTGCATTGCATATCCATCCGTTTTTTTTTTTTCATTATCAAGTGAATAGTTTCACCTTTTGTTTTGATAATCAGCACTTTCCATTTTTCATCTGCTCGACATTCATAACATGTTGTGTGTACTTCGAAAATGATGTGCCACAATTAAATATAATACACACTTGTTATCTTATCCAAATTATCATACAATCAACACATAAAAAAGAAGAAAAAAATCGCTTAGCATGTATTTTTGACCAAAATATCGTACGGCAATGGTATTTGCGACGCATGATTAGTAACATCATGAATTTTGAAAAAATTCCCAGAAACCTGCCATGTTTAATAAATAAAATGTTTATTTAGAAAATAGACAACAAGCGGTATTTTGCATTCGTTGAAACGAAGAAATTAAAAACACGTTGTATCTATTGAACCCCATTGCCATGGTAAAACATACGCAATAATGTGCTTCAATTATATTGAACATACACCGAAGAAAAAAACACAAGCGAACGAAGAAATGAAACAATCGTTGAAATACAAACACATAATAAAATGAACAGTATGTCGAATTGCTTTGATGGGAAGTAAATGTTATTTGCGTGTGCAATACACGTACCGACAGCAGTTAACGTTAGACGAGAGCGCGTTTTGTTCGAATATATTCACATGCTCCATACAACCATACTGTCACCGATTCGAAACCGACACACAAACATACACGGTTCGATTCGAAACCGACACACAAACATGCACGGTTCGTGTGCGGACCAAGTCCACACACATCCGATGCGGGGAATAGCTGTAAGCGCGTCGTTGAACTATCGTGCCGTACTCTGACGATTAACATTGTATGAACGAAACGGGCAACGAAAAATATAGGGAACAAAATAAATGTGGTTGGTGTGTGCATGTTCTCTGGCTATATTTATTTGAAACAGTAGCCTCAGTGCAGCTGAAAACACTGTTTCGTTCGCATCGCTATATTGTGTAACGGGATTGAGACAACGCACACATTTCGTCTAGTTTAGTTAGTTCATGTGGATTTTTTTCTTCTTCTTCTTCGGCTTATTAATAAAATGATGTTGCAATAATCAAAAAGAAAATAATTTAAGAGAAAAACGAGAACATTTACTAGTTTTGATTTTGAACAAACACACACAGTATCTCTGGAATATTATTTACACGAAGTTATTTTCGGCGATTGATTTTTGTGTAGTAATATATATATATATTTTTTGGTGGTTATTTTGAGTGGAAAAAAGTTAGTAATATTTTTATATGCACTTGTGAACTTAGCAAAAAAAAATCTTTAAAAACGAGAAAAAAAGAGTCTTGATTTAAATTCGGTGGTGTTATTGTCTGGTGATGTTGTGGCATAGCGTTTGATTCTCCATATCTAGGGGAAATTGTAAGCTATACTCTTGGAATAAATGGTTTCCGAAGGAACGGTTCATGCGTGCACAGTTAGAATTGCTAATCAAATTTGCTTCTTTTTGGATTTAATATCCGGCGATATTTTTATGGAATTATATCAATATACAGCTATGTCAAAGCCAATGTAGAGAAAAAAAAAACAAGCACAGACAGACAATGAGACGGTATTCAGTGGTATTCAATAGCGCATGGATCATAAATAGCATACAAGATGTTTTCTTTCTATTACATTTTATTGTTATTTAATTCTTCTATTTAAATTGTGTTTTGTTTAGCATTTCTTCTTTCTAACGCCCATTCCAATTCAAAACCTATTAACTAAGCACTAAATACATGACAAAAACTCAATGGCATATTTGTATATGAATTTCACTGCATTCATCGGATGGAATACCGATTCATGCATGAAAATATGTTTCGCATTGAAAACGATCTGCTCTCGAAATTTAATGGATTTAGTCTTTCATTTCGATTGTGTTATTTACAAAAAAAATGTTTTTGCAATGACGTAACATTTTATTTGTGTTTTACAGATGTGTAAATTATTTATTAGCGATGATAACGTGATGAAAACATCAACGACAATGTTAAACGCTTCAATTGTGGCATTAGTGTTTAATAATAGCAATACAACGGATTCGATGACCTAACGAAATGGCAAAAAAAAATAGAGAATGAAATAAACGTGCAACACGGAGACACGCTAGATAGATAGAGAACGAAGAGAGGGTTGTCAAAACCTGTATGTAACACAGTGTTTCTATAGCACATGGGCACGCTATGCGTCCTTTATATCTTGAAAACTTGTACATCTGTAAACACACTGCAATATAGCTCCGAAAAATGAACCAAGAACGAAAAGCTTGACTCCGAAAAAGTGTGCGAAGGACTTTTCCATCAAACCAGTTCGCTACCCTAAAACCGAAACATGTTTTTTTTTTCGGTGTATACCTTCGGCTTGGTGTTCGTGTGGAAATTGCGCGCATTGCCGCCAATGTCGTTCTCCTGTTTCTTCTGCTGCTTTTCCACTGCCGATACACCATACAATATGTATATGCATTAGTGTTTATGGTATTCTTTCTCTTTTGCATCATCGACATATACCAAATTCCGTGCGATAGACGATTCTTCAGTGGCGCTCATGTTCCATGTGTTATTTGCATAAGTATATGTGTTGTATGTTAGCTATTTGGCTACCGCGCGCAACATAGTGACACCGCCTTATTCCCATCTACAACACGCATACATACACATTGTAAGAAATTCTATCGTCATCGCCAACATCAACGTTGCTTCTGTTGCTACTGCCACTGCTGTTGGTGTTAATATTGTTCTTCCACTAAACAGTTTGAAAAAAGGAAGAAAAGAAGTAAAAATTTCAGTTCAATTCCCTTTTTTCCATCCAAAATAATAAAAATAAATTGTAAGTTTGCAATGTGATTTAAAGTGTAAAATAGAATCAAAACCACACACACACACACCAATTTTATTGGAACGTATCAAATAAATTGAATGTGTCATTCCAAACGTATCATCCATCTATCGCATATAATTTTAAATCTGTTTTGTGGTTTTTGTGTTTAATGTGCACTAATTTCAACATTATTTGATTTGTTTTTCACACCGAGAAATAAACCAAAGAATTTGCTGGGATGTTGAAGAACAAAGAGGTTTATTTTTCATTTAATTAAAGATGTAAGTGAATTTATAGTCCATGTCGTGGGAGAAAGAATGAATGAGACATTATCAAGAATTCGACGAGGAAGCGAAAAATGCGAACGTACGGTGTTTCATTTTAGTTTTCGTTTTTCTGTTTCATATATTTGATCAAAATAGTTCAATTGTCATGAGAAAATAGTGAATCGTGTGTTTGTTTGTGAAACGAAAGGAAATTGATTGCTTTTCTTTCTTTTCGCGAGCAACAGTGACGGACAAAGACAATAAACGATTAATTACGCATTTACAAGCTTGTATGAGATAACGACCAGCTCAAATGAAAGCACTAAAAGAAAGCAAAAATTGAGTGTAAAGACGCGGGCGCGTCGCTAACACGAACGCGACAAGCAACATCATTAACACAATTTCAATTCGCATTTTTTTTGTTTTTTTCTTTCGGTTGTTCATGTGTGTGTGCGTCGAAAAAAGCCACTTGCTATTTAGATCTGTGTGTGCTAATTGCATCGAATGTTTCGCGCAATTTTCTCGATATAGAAGAAAAAGCAAAATGGAATTGAGAAGTGTCTTTTCACTAGTTTATTTTTCGGTCGCTCGTGCCTATCTTTCACTGCACGTCAATGGTTTGCACGCAGCTAGATTCTGTGAGATCTTCTCATTTCATCAGACATTTTTTTTCGCTACTTCTTCTTCTCCATTTCATTTTCTGTGTCAGCCATTCGTCCATTATTGTTGTTGAACGAATTCCATCCGCATTTTCCAATGCGATGATGATGTGAATGAGACCAGAGGCCTGCTCAAACTAGTCGTCTATTGTTATCAAAATAACACATAGACAAAAAGAAATAAAAATAAAACGTAATCTAGGAAACCATTGGTTTAATATTAAAAACGAACATGGTTTTCATATCTGATTTTATGTAAATATCGAGGGTAATATTATTTGATATATTATACTGCTGATAAAAAAAAAAAAAAAACAATATTTTCCATCGACACAAAAAATGAAAGTCTTTATATAAAAAAAATAGTTCATATGAAAATGGCTTTCGTTTACATATTCTTGGTCCACCCGTCATATAATAACATGGCTGAATAGTGTTGAAAAATAAAACTGCGTTTCAGATTTGGAACCCTGTACGCTGTCCGTTTGCAACCGCATTCATTTTAAATTCATTGTTAATATAGAGCGAAGTTTTTGATTGAACTGAACAAATGAAAAATATTGTAAAACAAGAGAACCGACGAACAAAATGCGAATGAAAAAAAAAATCCGTTATTAGATTCGGTCACGGGAAAGTTAATTGAACGACTAACAAGCATAAAACATCAATTTCGCGTACACCACAACTCATTCACACTGATATTATTATGTAGATGTTTTGGAATGAGAAACAATATCCATGACAATATCACACTCTCCAGCGAAGACTAGCAAAATTTGATTCAAAGTATGAAGCGCGCGATGCACATATTTCATTCGCAATTGTTTCATGTGTGGGTGTTTCATCGCATTGTCACTTAGTCGAATATATATACACAATTGGAACATATATTGCGATCGTTGAAAATGAGTTGAAATACGTGTGTCACTGAAGCATAACATTACGCTAAATAATCAAATTGAAGTAGGCATACAATTTGCTCGTCGGTTTAATATATTCAATTTTTATTATATTTATGTGTGGTTGTACTTTGTGTCAATTTTCGTCGTATTGACAGACAAACACGATCGCATTGGAACCAATCCCAATCTGCTCGAAATGATCATAATTTTCATAACGATGAAATAAATTTTGAGTTGAGGTTTCTCTGATTTGATGCAGAAACAATGGGAACGACCAACCATTATTATCCACGCATAAGTGGTTTATCGACCGATTGTTATGATGCTACATTTCGCTTTGAATCAGAGCAAAGAATAAATACGACGAGATGTATAGATATTAAACGCGCATACAATTTGACTTTACGCCTTAAGTACTATAATCACTTGCAACATCGATGTTTTTCATCGTAATTTTTCTTTCCATCGTTTCGAAGTATACTTCAACTAAGTAGCCGATTATAATTCTTCGAATACACGAAAAAACATCGAATTCGATAGCCTACTGCGCTTTATGCTTCTGATGAGCTGAAACCACTGCCCCAGTTAAACGAGAGTTCGCGTAATATTTTTATTGTAGCATTTTTCTCGCACACATTACGATTTACTTTATTTCCATCCATGTTTTTGAGGTTTGTTTGTCTTTGAGTCGCACTCTTTCTTTCTCTTTCTCTTTCGCTCTTGTTTTTCTATGAGAACGCGTGTGTCTGCGATTCCATTTAAGTTAACAAGCAACTCGCTCATGGATGAAAAAAGCATCATGTCTCTTTATGTACTTTATAGGCATATTTTGGTTTGAAATTACCCGGCACATGCCGTACATGTATGAAAATGGATGTTTCTCCATCTCGCTCGTTTCATTCTCGAACCATGATTTTTTTTTTCTCTATTTGTTTGGGTTTTTTATAGTCAAAACCGTTGCTGCGATTAAATTAAGTGTGAATTATTGTTTATGTATGTGCATAGAAGTGATGTGACATCTGTGTATTAATTAAGGTCAAACTATAGATAGCGAAAATGAAAGAGAGCGCTACCGTTTTGGTGACCAATGGCGCAGTAATAAATTGATATTTAGCTCTTCAGAATAATTTTGGTCCATTGGTCAGTTTTTGTTGCTCAATTTTTCGCTCCATATGTCCTTTTTAATCCATTCAAATAACTTAATCTCTCGACCGAGATTTGAGTCTCGAATAATAGTCTACGGAGATGATAAAAAGAGTGTTGGAATTTTGCTCGATGATTGAGTGTAATGCGATTCGATAAATACCAACACAACCTCTACACTGAATATACTTAAGCGGACTTATTCATGTAAGCTGTGATGTCAACATTGTGCCCCTATCATTCATTTCAATTGACTTCATCTATTATTTTATTGATCAAAATAAAGCGCTGCGTATCGTCATTTTATCAAATGAAAGAAGAAGCCATATTGATGTATTAAAGTGCACAGAGGTTATTTTTAGCGTTCAACGTCCAACGCAAAATAAACAAACACACCAAATTGTTTATTATTTGCGTTAAATCGATCAATTTTGGTTGGTTTTATCAACGATGCAAAAGCCGAAATGTTCAAAGTTGACAAATTTCCGCCGAAATATCATGAAGGCACGCTCTTAGAATCGCATGGAATGAACAAGTTTCCAATTATGTAACAAATGTTCATAGTTCGTTCTTTTGATCTTTGACATATTAGAGAAAGTGGAAAAAAAAGTTTGTTGAATGTTTCAATGCTTATTTTATAAAAAAGATGTACTCAGATGCTCCACATATGTCGATATCGACGTCTATTTACATCTCCACTCAATCCGGAAGGCACAAATTCAACTTAAAGGAAACCATTCGTAATGGGAGCATGAGAAAATAAAACTGAAATCAATACCATTTGCACAATGCGGAGGAAAAAACGAGTGAACAAACAAATGCCAAACGAAAAACGCCACAGAACACATGTAGAACAATGGAACGATTTTATAAACGAGTGCCAAAAGACTATCGTATATGCCATTGTTTTGTTGTCTCCACGCTCAAGAGTATTATGTCTAAATGACGGTGAACATGAGAGAGATAGAGAGTAATGGTTGGCCGAGTTCATATTTTATGGTGTATACGGGCCCTTTTTAAAAATTGCATTTTCCCATTTTAAGTCAACTGTTTCAAAAGCTTTCTCCCGACACAGTGCACCGTTTCTCAATGAAAGTGTTCTCGACGAAAGAACGAATGAACAAACGAGAAAAAAAAAGAAAAGCAGTCGTGATTCCATTTGTGCGATTAATGCATATAGTGAATATGAAAAGTTGAATGAGTAAAAAGGGAGAAAAATATAATGCGAATTTAGGTTAAAACGCTATGATAAAAGCCAAAGCAAGCATGCATCAAAGTAGGCAATGGAAACAAATCCATCCACAATAAATATAAAACCTCGGGGTGAGGAAAGAAATGAGTGAGCGAGCAAAAAGACCGAAAAAATAGAGCAATTGTCAAATACTTGAATATTCAAATGAATATACCTTTGAGTGTTCACAATTGTAGGCGTCGTCGTCGTTGTTATTATTTTCTGTCAATTTTCTGTTCCAACAGTATTATGACATCACATCACCGCACATCACAAAACTTGTTCAGTTTTCAATGTGATTGCTATTCAATGATGAGGGAGTAAAACTTTTCCACGTGAAATCGAATTTGTGGCATTCTTATATGAAAATACTCATGTCATATTCATGCCGATAACCTTTTTGGTTTCACTTTTGCATACAATCGAGTCGATGACCATTTGATGAAAATTTAATGAGCATGATTTTACAATACATTTCTTACATGTTCTTTTGTTTTTCATTTCAGAACTGCCATTAACCCAAACACACACATACTGCCGCCAAAGATGTAGGAAGCCATATTTTTTTTGTATGCACCCATATACAAATCGTAGTTCTACATTTGGAAAATTATTTACACAAATCTGTGAAATTTACTGAGGAATTCAACGAAATCATCTAGATTTTTATCGTTAAAGTGCTTCACATATATATAATGCAAAGCGATTGCATATTGTCAAAACGACAAAATACACTAGTAAATCACGTAATCGATAAAACTCTGCTTGCCAACGAATAAATTCGTTCGTTTCGACATTGCAATCAGCAAGCGCGTTCCAGTTGAAGAAAGAAAAAGGGAAACACCACTGACAATCGAACACAAAATTGCTGTTCAGTTATTTTTTCGTTTCACTTCATTTTGTTTGCGAGTTCAAATAAATCTATTCGAATGCATTTCCAGCAACATGAAGAAAATCGTGCCAAATATGTGATGTCCGAACCAAAAATAGGTCAAACTATTGTTTGGCCTTTTATGATACAGGTTGGTATTTTCATTTTCATTTTTTCCACATTTTCTCTTCCATCTGTGTCTTTGTTTTTATTACTGAGTCATGAAGCATCACCAGACCATTGTCGTCACCAAGTACTATTAATCTTTATCATTTTCTATTTCTATACCACAATTGAATAGAATGCAATGAATAATCCGTCATGCACATCGACTCCGCCCGAAACGATTTTAAGTTTATTATGGACAACGGTGGCTGTTTTCGGTGAGTATTTTTTTTTTAATCACAATTACCAACCAGTTGAAAGTTAATGAGATCATTTCGTTTTCAACTCCAAGGTATTGTCTTTGCAATATTGGGTTATCGTTGTTTACGTGCGGTTGGATTTTTAAGTGGATTGGCTGCTGGCACCGGATGCGTTTTATGGCTAAAACATCTGCAAATTGAATTGGTTGGCAGTCAAGCTGATTCGGGTAAGTGAACTCGATAGACAACGATATTTTGATGATTGAAATTGAAATGTGCACTACCTTTTTATATGACGCAGCATTGGCCATGGTATCTGGCCTTCTAGGTGCCGTACTTGGGTCCACGCATCCGATCGCCTCTGTGTTGGTTTCTGCCACAGCCGGTGCCATCACAAGTGGATCAGTCATTGTATTCTGTATTGCAACTCTACCGAATCACGAGTTTGGCGTAAGTTTTCTATTAATAAAAAAAAACCAATTTAAAAGAAATTTTTATATTCATTGCATGCAAACTAATTTGCGTACATTGGTATTTTACATTTTTAGCTACGAGAAATTGAAGTTGCGGTTGGTGGCGGAGCAATAATATTCGCTGTAACAACTCTGTTGTGCGATAAATTTATTACAATTGTTTCATCGAGCATCGTAGGAACTACCATGATTATGTCTGCCATAGACTTCTTTATGCACGGCTCCGACACGATTGAATGGGTATATTTCCAATTATTTTTAAATCGGAAAAACAATTATACTACTTGTGAAAAAAAGAAGTAGATAATAATCGAATCGATTACATAGTAGTTTGATTAATTAGATGGAAATTGTTGGTTTATTAATGGATTTTTTTTGTTTTTCTTCACCTAAATTTCTATTTACAGATTGTGGGCATGAAATTTGATCCGCCACCACCACCATGTTGGGGCGGTCTCTTGATTTGTATTTATCCTGGCGTAATTGTATTTAGCGTATTGGTTCAGTGCTTCATCACAGCGTGGCGTGTTGATCACAAACATGCTCGTGCTCGATCACGACGACGACACACGCATCATCGAGCAACAAGTCGACCGCGCGAAACACGCGAAGAAGCTAGACAACGCAAATATCGGTACTTGTATCAAGTACGAACAGCTCGCGGCGACATTATTTCACAGGTTCGATACGTTCATATTCATAATATTCAAGCGAAAAAAGTTTGAAATAATTAAGGAAAATGTGTGTATGTTTGCTTTTTATTCGCAGAATTATGTATCGGCACTACAAAAACGCGTTCAGCCCGGATATCAGCCACCATCTGAGCACTCAACCAAAACCAATTCACATGAACGAAACACACTCAATAGCGATCGCACACATTTTACGAACATACCAGCCGATTCAGACATTGACAAAATGGATTTTGGCGATCGTGGATGATTTTGGTGATACAATTACTATTAGGCGTTACGTTTTTTCATGATTTTTTTTTTTTTGCTTTCATTAATTAGATATAGTTTTATCAGTTTTCGTTCAACCAAAAGAGAAAAAAGCAACAGCAACAACATTAATTATTTTATATTCGTGCATTCCATTATTATTATTATTATCATCATTTTTCATATATGACACATGCATATGAGTTTTAAGTAGTTTAAGTTTCGTCTCTTATTTAATTTCGATTATAATGTGTATCTTCATTTCCGACTAGAGGTAGAATGATCGTTTATAGAATTGTCCGTAAGATAAGGCCAGTTTTCGTATGTTTGAGTCGATACGCTAGCGAATGGTAAATGGGGATGCCAAATGTTAAAGAAAAGTGTATAATGGATTTTCCCTTTTTAAAATTGAGAAAAATTTAACTAAAAAAGTTTTCAAATTAAACCAAAATGAAAATTTGTTAATTCCGAATCAGTTAGTTGTTTTGGTTTGGAAAATTGAGAAAAAAAAGAAAGAAAAACCATTTTTTACTACAAAATTATTCACATTCAAAAATTTAAATGTAAACATTTTAATCAATTTTTACCTAAAAAATAATTCGATGTCATTTTATACGTTATATATTTGGAATAATTGGAATTGCGACATTTTTTGCATTGTCAGTAAATGAGAAGGGAAATGTATTTAGAAATTTGTGAAAGAAAAACACCGCAGTTGCCGTGAATTTCGTACATTGATCAAAAACAAAACATTTTTTTATAAACATATATTTTAATATGGGAAAACAATTTGTCAGGAGAGATAGGTTTTCATGAATGCAATCAACGTAAACAACTATGTATCTTAAAACAAATGTCAAAATACAGAAATGAAACATGTAAAGTGAACATTGAATCACCAACAACAACAAAAAAAGAACCGTTAAATAAAAGTTAGTTATTAAGAGGTAGCCGATGATAATAAAACCGAAATTGAATGAATGTTTGTACATATTTTTGCACAAAAAGAAAATATCACGATAATTCTGATGATGAAGCTCATCAGATGAGCATAGCTATGTACGGTGGAACTTGACATAATGAGTTTAAAATGGATTTAAAAAATGATTAAAACTTGTTCGGTGATTTTTAGATTTAATTTTTTTGACTATAATCGTAATTTTAGTAGATGCGGATGGGAGGTGGTAAATAGATGCAGATCAAAGTAGTATTGTTCGAGAACTTTATTTTACATTGTTTTCTATTTCGAATTGTAAATGTTTAATCATTTAACGTGTATCATTTTGACCAGCGAAACGGAAATGCTCAAAACATGTGAAGAAGTAGATTGAGTTCAAATTTGGTTGTGTTGGTCCAAAACAATTGAAGAAGAGACAAAAAAAACAGAAGAAAAGAAGAGAAAAAGAGTTTTACATTTCAACAGAAAAGAAAAGAAAATTCATTGAAATATATATAGTATATGTATATCGTTCTCAACGACACTCCATTTTATGATATATTTAAAGCTAACGAACAAAGTTTAAAAATGCAATTATACAACAAATTAAAAACTATTAACTTAAATGTACACATTATGAAGACAACAAAAAATCAAATCATTGTAGCCGTATCATTTCGAAAATCCGTTCTCCATGACTGTTTACAATTTCAAATAACGTACATATACATATTAAATGACATACACACAAAATTTACCAAAAAAAAAATGAAACACACACGTTTAGCATCATCCTAGATTGTAGTCAGCTTACCCGTTCGATTTCAAGTCATCATATACATGTTATATCCAAAGAAATGAAGAAATAAGTCAAAGAAACAGTCTCTCCAAATGTGTATTTTTGATATTTATTGCAAACGATGGCCAGCCGAAATGAAGTTCATATCATGTTGTTTCTTGTTTCGATAAAATTGCAAAAGGGTTTCCAAAGACTACAAAAAACAACTTATGAAAAAAAAGATGAACCAGAAGAAAACACACATTTTACATACAATATAAAAACTCAATCAGGAGCTCAATCAAATTTCGCATTGGATTAATTTATGTGATAGATCTATGAAGCTTGCCCATCTGTGGATTTAAAGAAATAGTCAACCAAAAAAAAAACACTTTTAAAGGGTTTCATATTTATTCGGCTAAACAAAAAAAAAATGTTCTAAAATGCGACGAGTAACAAAGTTGCTCGTCAATTCAAAATGCTTTTACAAATAAAATCAAAACGCAATTCAAAATTCGCGATGTAAATGAACGAGAGAAGATCAGAGTTAAGAGAAAAACGGGGAGAATTTGTGTTGGAAACCAAATCCAGGTCAAACCTGGCGCATTGGGGGACAAACAAAACAATATATATTTTTAATATGAGACAGACAGGAATGAAGAGGAAAAAAACACACACACACAATAAAAGTTAATTAAATATTCAAACAACAATAAATTATGGTACATAAATAATTCGATGAATAAACAAAAATCAACATCCTTAAAACTAAACCAAATGCGTTTTAATCTGTCATTTATTTTTTTGTGTTTGACCATTTCTGAATCAGACAATTCAAAATCATTGTTTGGTCTTCGATAGCTTGGTTGTTGCATTCAAACGGTGTTTTGTGTCATGAAAAGAGCAGAAAAAACACCGCACTTTCTTATTTACATTATTGTCTTTTGATGTTCTTATGCAAAAAGAGACACACTTGATCCAAATTCGATTTGGGTGAAGTGGTACGACAGAGACAAATACAGAACATTGTGTGTTTGTGTGTGTAGCAGAACGCGTGCGCATAAATATCTATGTGTATTAGTCCAGATGGTGCACATTTTGGATACGAATTTATTATCAAAACGTTTCGTTTGCCACATTGACAAGCACATTGAAGTAAACCATTGCAGAGGGTGACTCGCATGTATCCATTGAATTTAGTGTGTTAGAGAGGTAAACAGACAAGCGGTTCGTTCATTCGTGTATATTTTCAATGCAGTTGTGATTGTGTGTGTTTTTTCGAAGGTATTGGATTTCTTTTCCTTCTTTGTCTTTCGCACCAAAATGAATATATCTCTCCATCCATGGACTTATCGCAACAAGACTTTGCATCGGATTCTTGTCACGTTCAAATGAAATATTACACACAGTTCTCGTTCTAACTTCAACGCTGCCAGCAGCATAGAATCGAATAAATTGTTTCGCTCGGCGGCCAACACCATAAGCGACGTGTGAAAAAGCCAAAAAATAGAGCTATATTTAACGCTTTAAATTGTGAACAAAACAAATAAAAAAAGTGAACGAAAAAGAAAACAGAGAAGTTCTGATTAAAGTAGTGAATTATTGATTTTTAGTGCATCAACCATACACAATTTTGTTTGTATCATTGTGTAAATCGAAACCTAAACAAACTTCGACGAATCGAGAGCTGCTTCGAGGAAAAAATTTTTATTGGTGCCATTTAACTGTCTAACTGTGTGTTTCGACTCATTGGATTTCTCACTTGCTCACTCACATTCTGTCTCTCTGTTCGAAATCAAGTGAAACACCGACAAAATGTCATTCCGAGTAAGTAATTCTAAGTTATTGATTTTTACGACGATTCAACTCGACCGTACATTTTCAGTCTCACATTTCACGTATTTGACTCTTTTTTTCGTTTCGTGTATGCATACAATTTTGTACAGAAATTGCGTTTTGTACACCATTTTTTTTTATTGTAATCCATATGTGTCACTGTTCCATTTTGGGCAGAAAGTGCGAAACTCAGCACTTGAGCATAGTATATAGAGTTCCCCTCTTTTTGTTGAATGCCAAATTATATGTGTGTTTGTTGTTTTTATTTGAATAGGAAATTGATGCGAAACGCGACCAATTTCGCAAGTACATTGAAAGCAAGGGTGTCATTGACAGCATCACCAAAGTGCTCATCAAATTGCTTGAAACGCCAGAAAAACCCGAACATCCAATGGATTTTATTCGTGCAAATTTGGGCGCCACACAGGCCGAAGAACGACGCATCGAAAGTCTTGAACAAGAAGTCATTGGCTATAAAAAAGAAGTGTCCGATTTGAAATCACTACTTGATGAAAAAAAATCACAACTTGAAGCGGTTAATGCCAAATTAAGCGAATATGAAAAGAAAACGACGGATGACCAAGAAAATAAGGACACAAAGAACGACGAAAACATTGCGTCAAATGAATCGGTTCAGGTTAACGATACGAAGGCTGAAACAAATGAAACGAAACAAAAGAATGCAATCGTTGCTGGTGGGGCTGAAGTTACGGCAAGCAAAGACAATGAATCGGAAACGGCCGCAACACCAAATTCAACCGCAACCACTGTTGACAGTACTAAGGCATCGAATGATAGTGAGACGGCCGATGTTGCCAAGTCAAATACGGACACCGCACAGACCGATGACGAAAAAACTCCTACAGCGGCCACAATAGATGAAGCTGACAAAACTAAAAAAGCCGAAAACGCCGCAACCGGAGCTACAGCTGCTGTCGCTGCCGTCGCTGCTGCTGCTGCCACCGGCGATGCCGTAACCGAAAAAGAAAAGTAAATTTATTAATTGTAATTTGCAAAACCATAAACCATATGTGGCTATCTTATAATAATGAACAAGACAAGAAAAAAAATAGATAAAAAAACATGACAAACATCAAATCATTCAAACTGTTTTCAGATAAACTAGGACACTTAATATTTAAAGTTAAATTGTTGAAAAAAATGAATATTTTTGAATGAGCATTTGCCCTGTTAATGATGAATTTAATGGCATACACATAAACGCAACCATAAATGAAAAAAAAAATAATAAGCAACTGAATTTGGCCACATCATTTTTTGTTGTTGATTTTCACACGATTACTAGAGAGTTTAATTATACCAGCAACACTACTGAAAACTACTTTTTGTCTATAGAATAAGCTGTCCGACTTTCAAGCACAATTTTTGACGATTATAATAATGTTTTTTTTTCCTTTTGAAAAAGTTTCAAAAATGACAAGAAAAAAATTAACTTTTGACAAATAATTTCAACAGATTGATTTACATTTTTTTTTTGTATTACACTCAATGCAGCGAGTGACAAATTTGATCAATCCATTGTTAAGATATAATAACAGAACTATTTTGTTAATGATTTTGAAAGAAAAATAACAAATTTTGCGAAAAGAATCTTTTTCTGGAAGAAATAAAAAAAAATGTTTCTAAATATTTCAAAACATTAAAAAAAAAAACAAGCAAATAATTATTACGTCCTAATGAACACGTCCTGAATAATAATAATAATAATATTAATAACATTGAAATCATTTATCTCTATTTATTATTAGTAAAATGACCATGAGTATTTACAATCCATGCATTGAAAACACAGTTTAAAGCCACAGTTGTACAGATCAAATGAACAAAATTTCGAATGTTTTTCTCAGGTATCATTTTTTCTCTGTGTTTTTTTCTCCATACAATTCAAATATTCACTGGCACTTTGGTAACAATTACAGATCAATCTCTATCTAGTCCTAAAAGCCAATTTTGTTTAAACACATATCATTATTAATTATGCACTTAAGAACAATACACACATATGCACACGTTCACACATACATATTTTTAAATGGAAGTGGCTTACGCAAATACAGATGGAGACAGACACTTGATTCAAACACTCAAACCAAATTGATGTTTTGACTATCGTTCAACGAAATCTCGATTAGGCTATGAAATGTCACACTTAACCGCATTGAGAAAAGTGGTTGAGTAGTAAAGTGGTTTTTTTCTGTTTACAGAGTGTATACTTTGTTTGGTGTAGAATCTCTTTGATTGTAATTGTAAAAGTCATATTTAATATTTTCATATTTTAAGCGATATTTTGTGGTCAATCATCAAATCAATTTGAATCAAACTTCAATTTTCAAGTATACATCCAAGATCAACAAGAGTTGATAAGAGTTCAAAAATGAAAGAGAGAGAGAGAGATAATCGTAAGAATGTTCTAAAGAAGACGAAAAAATGGATAAGTAAGAGCTCTTGATGGATGCCGAGATGGTTCCATTTAAAATATATAATTATTTGATTTTCATTGAGTTAGCTTATCGTTCACAAAAGTAATTGACATACAAAAATCAAATACCAAGGAAGCCATATTCTTTCAAGGGTAATTCATACATTTTCTATCACTTGTGCCTTCAATCATCATTTTACATGTGACATCTTTTCAAGTGCACACCAAACACATACACACACTCTTTCTCCCGCTCATACACTTACACTTTATTGTCACAATTTGTGAATATTTAATTTGTTCACGCATTTTCTCAACAAAACAGGATTTAAAGCAAATTTACCACAGCATTTTGAAAATTGGATCGAAGCGAAAGAATAAAAACGTGTATACAAAACTTAGCAATCTAGATTATACGTCGAGCCAAACCAATCATTTAAAACGGAGGTGAGAAAAAAAAACACAAATCTCGGTGATCGACGTTCATTTTTTTTTCATCGTGCAATGTAGAAGGCCGTATGTGTGTTAGTCGAAATTAAGATAAAAGTCAAAAATTATATCAATTATTTATAAATTATACAGATTTCAAAACGAAATTAATAAATAATTTTCGCCAAAGATTCAAGTCAATGAACTTTTAATTACTTTCAAAAAATGCCGCTATTGTTTTGTTTATTTGTTATATTTTATTAGTAGCAGACGACATAAAGCAGATAAAACATCAACATTATGAACTATTATGGAAAAACAAAACCAAATCCTGACGTAAAATCGCTAAAACCCAGATTGTAATCTATATTAGATATTTCGCGAATTGCACAAATAAAAAAAATGATGTCCGATTATAGTCGTTTGGTGGATATTTCGATAAGAACAAGTCCGATTACGTGACCGATTCGACCAGTGTTAGTAAGATACTAGATCATCCCGAAGTGCTTGTAAAATACATGCATATCGAATGATGGCAACAATGCTTATGAAATATCGATGTTGATTAAAATGGGCCACACTTGAATTTAAGCATGTGATATTGTCGAATCAATCTGAGTGTCTGTGTATGCTGATGAAAATGACGAAGAAGCACTCATCATTGAGTTGAATACAAATGTGCGCGTTGAGTAAAACAATTAAATTTCATCGGCGTCTTTCATTCATTTCAATTGAATGATAGAAACCCGAAGCGTAAGACATAACGAAACCGAATAAAAACAAACGGTCGCGCCAATCGCTCATTCACTGCGCGCCGAGTTTTCCGTACGACACCGTCGTCTCTTTATCATTTGCTCCTGAAGCAAAGCACTTGGTGATCTCTAAGTTTTTCACTTGTGTCGTACGTACTGGATTATTTTTTATTCGAAAACGTTTTGTATTTGGAATTTTATTTGCATTTATATCCGGTCGGGTGTGCTGTTGCGCCGTAACGAATGTAAGTGAAATGACAATCACAGTATAAAAAAATTTGTAAATTCAATACAATTATGTAAATATTAAAATCAAAAATTAATCGAATTCCAAGTTCTTCGTATAATGTATTTTTAAATTCGCGACTATTGTTCAAAGAGATAAACCGATGATATGAGATTGGCAAATACGAATAGTACAGTGTGAAGGTTTTTTTTGTTGTTTATAAAAGAATTGCAATCGGTTTAGTGTTCAGTCATAAATTTTAATTATTGTGTTGTGAAATGAATGTGAAGTATTGCCTTTTCAAGATTTACTGGATTATTATTGCTGCTATACAATGATTGTCACCATGACAATCTTCACATTGGTCTGATTCTATTTCATTGAATAATATCATTAAATGTTTGCAAGTGTAAAATCCATAAAACCAATGACACATTTTATCTCACACAAATAAAATAAATTTAATTGGATTTTTTGTTCGGTATTTTATTGAATGTGTTGATACTGATCGTGATTTCATTTCACTGAAAGTTGATGGTGCGAATATAAAGATATTTTGTGCAATGTTCTAAGAAATGTCAACAGGAAATTCAGACTCATGAAATTGAGTGATTTAAGCGAAAATTCTTTTCAATTCGCACACTCACATCGCACAGCCACACAGAAATAGAAACGACGATTTATTTGATTTTTCTAGCATGAATCATATCAATTTAAAGCAGAAATCGATTTAAAGCAGACGCTCATCTCAATTGGTTTTGCTTTGAAATCTATCTCTACTCGACGAAGTGAAATTGACCAGTTCGAACTAGACAACATTGGTATTTGGAGGTTTTTATTGGAAACTTTTCCGCAACTTTTTATCTTTTTTCAATAATTACTCGTAAGTTGCGGAAAATGATTTTTTTTTTATTTCGGACATTCAAAAGAAACAGAAGATGAAAAAAATTACATAAAACAAACACACATATCCATTTTTCTAATGCCAATTCGGGCAGCTGTTTCCTCGATTTTATCACAACCACACAAAAAGGCACAACATTAAACTTTTTTTATCAGTTTTCATGAAATCTCCAACCGAAATTAAATCGTTCTATTTTCTGCTCACACTATAGATAGCAACACATACACTTGAATAAATATTTGTGGAATTTTTCAACAAAAAGTACGAACATTTATCGCACAAATCAAACATCGGCACGCATAACTTGCGGTTATTCAATATTTTTTTTTTCGTTCACCTCTTTTTATTTCAAATTCATTCACGAAAAATGTAACATTTTCATTCGCAGAAAATTGTCTAAAAATATAAAATGAATAATAAAGCATTTGAGAATGAGGTGGATTCGACAGAATATGGAAAATCCATTGCTCTTGAAAGCAAAAGTCAAAATGGCAATGGCGATTTAAACGGAACCATTACTTTAGAAACGGCCGGTTCATCTACCACACAAAATTCCGAACCAGAACGTGAAGGTAATATTAGTACATCACAATCAGAACTTGTATTATGTATGATATCATTTGTGCATATGTTTAAAAAAAGACCACCGGTTGCATTGATCATACGATCAAATGTGAGTGAAACAGACTCTGAACAAAATTTGGAATATATACACGAAGAGATTACAAAAGAGAAAGATAAAAATGAGACAATTAAAGAATGGCAGACAATAATAAAAGCGAAATTGATGTGTTGCGAATGTTTTATAGGTTGGGGAAAAGGCATCGAATTTCTAATGTCATGCATTGCAATGTCTGTTGGTTTGGGCAACGTTTGGAGGTATATTGACAATTCATATTTTCTCTTTTGATATCAATCATTTATGCTCTTGTCCGGTTGCTATTCAAGATTTCCATTTACTGCACTCGACAATGGCGGCGGAGCCTTTTTACTACCATATTTAATTGTTTTGTTTGTGATTGGAAGACCGCTGTATTTTCTGGAAATGGTAATCGGTCAATTTTCAAGCCGAAATAGTATCAATGTTTTCGATATATCTCCATTCTTTCGAGGTAAGATCCCATATAATCACATTTATTTTTGTATACATGATCAATTTTCTATTTGCATTCAAGGAGCTGGTGTCGGTCAAATAATAGCGATTTTTTTGTTGAGTACATATTATGCGTCCATAATGGCATTGATCGGTCGATATCTTTACGATTCATTCCAATCGCCGTTGCCATGGACAATATGCAAAGAAGATTGGGTAAATTGCGTCAGTCCAAATACATCACTCAGTATGAAAATATTCACACCAAATGCTACAACATCTATCGGAAAAATGTCAAGTTCAGAATATTACTTTACGTGCGTTTGCTGTGTGTTTATAAAAAAAATTCGTTTTCAAAAATATTAATTTTCTTGTATTTGTTCAGTCGAGAAGTGTTGCAAGAAGCAAAAGATATAAATGACGGAATCGGCGCCCCGATCTTAAATTTAACCATATTTTTGCTGTTGGCATGGATTGTTATAGCTGCCGTTTTAATCAAAGGCATTCAAAGTTCTGGAAAGGCATCCTATTTCTTGGCTTTATTCCCATATGTTGTGATTGGTATTTTATTGATTCGAGCAGTCACATTGCCGGGCGCATGGAATGGAATTTTGTACTTTATCAAACCGAGATGGGAGAAAATTCTAGAACCAAGTGTAAGAGATGACATTTTTTCAATTTTTCTTAAATACATCAGACATTTAACAGTTTAATATATTAGGTATGGTACGCCGCAGGTAAATGCTTCGAATTGAAATAAAATAATGTTTGGGCACTACAACAACACACGCTCAATTTGAATGTGTGTTGTTGAATTGTTTTTAAACATTTATAAACTTAATGATTGTTTTGATAAATGCTGCAGTTACACAGTGCTTCTTTTCATTGGCCGTGGGTTTTGGTAATCTAATTATGTACTCATCATTCAATAAATTCAACCACAATGTCTACCGAGATGCCACCATTGTAACCAGCCTTGACACCTTTACATCATTATTTGCCGGATTTACAATTTTCGGAATTCTAGGGCACTTGGCTCATGAAATTAAGACGGACGACATAAAATCGGTAGTAAATGGAGGTAGTGGTTTAGCATTTATCAGCTATCCTGAAGCAATTGCACGCTTTCAACAGTTTCCACAGGTAAATGCTTCGATTTGAAATAAATAAATGTCTGACCACTACAACAACACACGCCCAATTTGAATGCGTTGTTGTATTGTTTTCAAACATTTATAAATTAAATGATTGTTTCGATAAATGGCCAAGTAAATGACTCAGTTCCAATGACAATCAATAAAAGCAATCATAAAATCGTTAAGGAGTCATTAACTCAATACACGCACATGACAGTACATCGTTTTCTTAATAAAGAGATGCTTTTTTCTCCAATTGGCAATTTGTAGAAATTTACAAGTCAATCGAGAAAAAAAACCCTTTTTGTATGATGCAATATCGTAATCGTCTTGCGTAGTGAAAACGTTTTGCAAAGCACATTTCTCGCACAGTAACATTCATCGTCGCCTGGCACAATGGAATGGAATTTCGAGGGTTTAATGACGCAATCGATAACGGGTTTTGCCAATAAAATATAAACAATAAATAAATAAAAGTGCAAAAATTGATGTATAATCAATATAAAAATAACAGATAAACACCATATGTTAAATAACACCTATAAATAAATCAATGTGTAGGTCTGTAGTGCGCCCCGATTACTGACCGATTCGACGCGACCATTACAAACGGTAATCGATTGCGTTTAGATCGTTGATTGTTTGACTGCATGATTCCAAAGATCATCATGTGGCAATGTATACAATGTGTGCAGATCTTACTGCGCGATTTTGAATATGACTTCTGGTTATTTACATTCATTGATGCTATTTTCATTTACTAGTACAAAGGTCATAGATAAAACGATATATTAATTAGTAGTGTTGGTTTTTCATAAATCCAAAGTATTTACTATTTCTTTTTTTTATTGCTTTTTGTGTGTATTTCGATGATGATGATGATGATGCTGATGATGATGATACAGATGTTTTCGATACTATTTTTCTTCATGTTATTTGTACTGGGAATCGGCAGCAATATTGCGATGTGTACTTGTATTATAACAATTTTGCGTGATAAATTCACGTCGCTGAAGGCATGGCAGGCTGCAATTGGACTTTCGTTTGTTGGATTTTCAGTGGGAATAGCGTATGTCACACCGGTATAATAAATAATAATTATCAAAGCGCATTTGAGATTCATTCAAACCAAGTTTATGGTTTTATTTTGAGCGGATTTGTTTATTATGTATCACACAGGGTGGTCAACATTTGCTCAGTTTGGTTGATTTCTACGGTGCATCATTTATTGTTTTTATTTTGGCAATTGGAGAAATTGTGGCCGTTTGCTGGATCTACGGTAATTTCGTTACGAACATTTTAATTTTGTTTTGCCATTTTTTCTTGACAAGTACTGTTTGCTGTTTCAGGTGTGAATCGATTGTGCCGAGACATTGAATTTATGATTTCAGTTAAGCCTGGCCTCTACTGGAGGGTGTGCTGGGCATTTTTGACACCATTATTGATGTTCACGATTCTTATCTATACATTTATCAATTATAAACCATTGACATATAAAGATCAACCATACCCAGCATGGGCCACCTGTGAGTAATTTTTCAACATTTTATTGAGAATATTTTCAATCTCTCGCTTTGTTCATTCTAGCTCTGGGTTGGACAGTTTCAGCAGTCGGTGTGGCACAGTTGCCACTTTGGGCTGGTTATGCATACCTCAAGTATTATCTTAATGACAAAGAAAAGATGCGAAGCCCACTTCAGCCGACCGCTAATTGGGGACCAAAAAATCCTCAAATATTCGAAAAATATCAAATGTACGTATCTAATTACGAAGAGCAACAACGTTTACTGCCCAAAGGAAATCTACTTGTTCGTATGAAACGACACATTTTCGGTTAAATTTCTTTTGTTTAAATTAGGATTTTTTAATTTTTTTTTCCAATATGCAAGTGCTTACGATTATTATTCACAAATAGAGATAAGACAATTTTTTATATGTGATTATAAAGAGAATAGAAAAACTTAAACGCAACAAAATCGATAACTGTATCGGAAATCAAGAAATAAAATTCGATTTTGTTCGAAACAATTTTTGAATAGAAATTGAAGAAGATTTCGCGTAATGCATTATTCATGTTAACAAAATCCCTCCTCTGGAAGCCAAATAAATGTGTAATATAACGAATTTTTCGATGGGAAACCCTTCGCATATGTGCACCCCCACATCCATCGTGCCGGCAATCATGGTTTCTTTGTTTATTTTAAAGGAATAACTAACGAAAAAAATGCAGCTAATAAAAATAAAGTCAATTTGAATATTTCCACTTCACTGGCATCTTTGCAGCTATGAAATCGGAATAAATGTATTTATACGCAAGATAGCGAGCACAATCAAAACAAAAAAAAACTTGTACAACATGGGTACAGAATGAACATGAGATGCGTGAGGCGCATGTCCTTCCATGACATAAACGGCCAGAGTGAATGGAACTGTATGTATTGCCACAAGCAGCGTTGGGGAATGTAGGAAAAAGGGAGAAAAGGATATGAGTTTTTCCCATTGCCAAAGCATATTCGATACGACACTTGGGACGTTGTGGTTCATTCATATTCCCGTTTATTTTTTAGAGAAAAAGAAAATCGGGGGAATACAATGTTCTGTTTGTATTATTTTGCGCGCGTGCAAAAAAGCCTTTTTCACTGGAAATTGTACGACAGTTTTCGACACGATGTTGGTAGATTTGTACGTACTTTTCATTTGCTCCTGTCACCTTTCTATATTTATCATCAAATGTGTTCGAACTAACTTTGTGTATTGATGAAAGAATAGTAGTTAGTGAAACGCGAACTCGATAGAGATAAAAAAATCAATTCCGTTTTGTGCTCTTTTTTCCTTTCTCTTTATTTCTCATCGACATAATTTAATCGATATCCGTCCATTGTAAAATTGTGCTTAATTTATTTGAATAAACATTCAACAGTTCAACATTGTTTCCTTTGAATAAATCAGGGTCGAGTTTTCATTCGATACGACCGAAAAAGACGGAAAAAGTTCAATTTCATGGTATTGCATTGTTTTCTAAGTACTCGACAGAATCAAGCGAAAGAAAAAAGAAATTCAACCGCAGTAAAAATGAATTTTGGTCAATAGAAAAGAAAAAAAGAATCTGACAGAAGCAACATCCAAAGGAAAATTTCATTAGTGAGAAACACAGAAACACACACACACACACCGTGGAATAGCGAATGGAACAAAGAAAAGTCACACACAAAAATCGGATAAGTGTAAAAGCATTTGAATACAAAACATAGACATATACGTACACACAATTACGCTAATAATCAAGTTTATGGATGGAAAATTATTTAACGCAATTAAAATGTGCCCATAGATGTGCAATGAAAATCAACAATAGCAACTCTATTTAGATTTCAACATTCGGATATCGGTGTGATTGTAAACAATAACGTCGAAAACCCTTAAGCAAAGCAGAGAGACAGAGAAAAAAAAGCAAATCACATGCAAAGTGAGATAGAAATAAAGCAAAAAAAAAGTGAACGACGTCTACAGATATGCACGTTTCATGATAACGGCGACACAACGACGGCGACGGCAACGAAACCAACAATAAGAACAACAAAAACGACGAACGATACAAAAACACCATAAAATATAGCTTCGAAAAGCGTCGGATAAAACGGTTTCATTGTGCGCGAGGGGAGAGAATCGGTTTGAAACAAGAGGGTTGTAATCCACATTGCGTGCTTCTGCCTGCGAGTTACAAGTGCAATTTAATGTAATCAGCAACTCAGAGCGGAGAGACATAGAGTGTGAGCAAGCAACTTCAACACTATACACGAAATGATGGTAAAACGGCTGAAGCACAGTGGCTGCTTGGCGTCACACGATTAGAACGACTCTGTCTGCTGCCTGATGAATTTCGATGGTGAATTGCGTTATTGCACAATATAAAGTGATTCAATGGATTTGTGTAGTAATCTTTATTCATTTTGAGCCCGGCAGTTCGACTTTTGCTGCTTGATTCAAACCTCGCATTCTCTCTATCTTTTTCAAAATTACTTCAAAGTGTGTAATTGAGCAAAATGATTCAGTACAGTTCAGGCACTACTCCTGTAAATGAGTGAATAGTTCGGTAACTCTGTGTTGTGTATCGGAATTGTTTTCCATTGCATCGTGCAAAATTCAAAACTTTTGAAACTTTCAATTAATTCGATGAAGAGATTACATTTTCATTTTAGTTAGAAATGAAAAGTTTCAGTTTTTTTTTCACTGTTTGAAGTGAACGCTTTAATTTAATATAACCAAAAGTTTGTGCAATATACAAGTGAACAATTATATTATATGAAAATATTCATTTTGAATTGAATGCAAAGTGTTTTCTCCATTTTATTTGTTTGAATATTTCGAATTTTTGTATTAAATTTACAATGTTCACTCCGAAGAAAATCAACAACGCACCATTATCAGTGCCATCGTCACCGTCGATCAAGATGGGTTGCTGTGCATTCAGACCGACATTTCGTTCACAACCGCGAACCCCACAAGAAGTTTATTTTGAAAGTCGAGGAAAATGCTGCAAAAAACTTCTCAAATTCAATGGCTATCCGAACAAAGTAATAAAGATAAATTTCATCTTTAATGTGTGTGTATATGTGTGTATGTGGGCTTGAGTGGTCACTCTTGAAATCTATACAATTTTATGGCCCATATTCAACACAAATCGAAAGAAACGCACCTTAATCCCAATCGTATAAAATTACTTTTGTAGGTTTGGCTTTACCCTGAGGAGGCATGGGCCCGAAGCGCTACTTCAAGTTATATCATGATCAAACAATGTCCATGGTGGAAAAATCTATGCATTGTCGAAGAGATAGCTGGCACCCGACAGTAAGTTTATTGAAAATATAAAAATAAATTGCTAATAAATTATATCCCAAATCCTTGGCCATGCCGAAACAATGGACAAAAGAAATAAAAAGCAATTTTATCGAAAATTCATATACATATTTCGATGTAACGAAAATCCATGTTCGTTGTAAATTGTGGTGGCGGTTGAGTGCACATACTAAAGCTTCATTGTGTTTGCGGTTGAAATATATGCATTTGTATCGTGAAATATGTATTATTTCCGATTCGTTGCATTAATTCACCGACTCTCATGCAAATAAATTGATTGAATAAAAAATATTACCGAAAAACTTGCAGCTGGCATTCAGGCTTATTGGATTATTGGTTTCGAAAAAATCGCTACAACAAGAAATCTATATGTGAATGTTAAATCAGTTGTGGTAGTACGAAAAAAAAAAACGTTTCTTTTCGTTAGATGCCAAGTTTTTTTCCTCACTCCATTTTTTTTTTCATTCAGTTGAATGGAAAATGTCGCGTAATTTTCGCGGCACGAAAGAAGAACTAGTCAGTAATTAAATCGGAAATAAGGGGCCTGTTGCATTCGGTGATTTTTCTCTCTCTCGTCCGTTGAAAACTACATGAAACTTGCGCATACAAATCACCCCGTTAGAATGATGCAAATTCAAATGAATATTGATTCAGCGGTGATAGCAACAAAAATTCTCGCGTCATATAATACGAAGCCATAACCGATAGGCTGATGTCAATGCAACGATGATAACAAACCATCTCCTGTTTGCCCTCCTTCCCATGAAAATCCACGAGAAAACCGCACGCAAATACAAATGACGTTTGCATATATTGTGGCTGTTGTTGTCGGAAATAAGCAATCACCATTTCAATTACACATGCAATTTAATTAAATATCGAGATCGAAGTTGTTTTTTTACCATTGGTTGTTGGGCTTTAAATCGATTTTATGAAATCCTGCCATGCATGAGACGATATGTTTGTGAGAATTCTCCATCCAACATCCCAAAAACATAAATGAAAATAAAATCGGTCGTCGATAACGAAATCATTTCATTTTAATGGATTTTCATCTTTTTTTTATTTCCTATATTTTTTTTTTTTTTTTTTTTTTTTCATTTATAATCCCATTTCCATCGAATTGATTCTTTTTTTCCATTTAACGTAAAAAGGTTTATACTTATTCTTTTTTTTCTTATTACGAAAATTCTATCTATTTTAGCAAAAAATCAACGTATGCAAAAATGATAAGCTCATCGCCGGGCTCATTGTTAATAATCGGCTCGTTTAAAAAACAAACCGTCGATCCGGATTTTAAGGTAAGTTGTATTCCATTTTCAATCGTTTGAGAATTTTACGAAGAATTCGGGAAGAAACGAAATTGCTTTTTTGTACACAGAACAAATATGATGAATGATAAAAAAATGTCATCAATTTGTATAGAAACTAATGGAAAAATACCTGTGGAGAGTTTATTCAAGCGCACACGCTTGACAAAGTGATTTGACTTATTTCCTTTGTGCAGAATGGTCGTTCCGTCGTTCTCTTTTGCTTGAATTTACAAAGATAAAGTTCGTTGTTAATATAATGTTGTAGTGCACCATTTTTATATACACGGCAACGAAACCATTTTTCCAGCACAGTTTTTAATCAAAATATTCTTTTGTTATAGCTTTAAGAGCGAAAGTACAATCATTCTCATGTTGATCATTTTTCTTCTCTTACTCTTTTTATATTTACTTTCCGTTGTTTTTTTGCTGGGCGGGTGAACTTGCAGCTACATTTAACGTCAAATATAAGTATTGCTGATTATAACATGGGCTACTGTTTGACTGGAGTATTGGAGAGGGGCTATAAAAGAACCAATAAATATCAACAGACTCATTTCGTTGTTATACGACGTCGATGGCCATCATTGAAAGATACGAAATCATCCTAAGAACAGCAGATTGTCGAGAAGACGACAATGCAATGAAAAGAGAAAAACACAGAGAAAAAAATGATGATAATATCGAAACACGAGAAGAAAAAGGAGCTTTGTAGATTCAAAGGAGACAATACAATTTCTACCTTGCTGTCCTGTCCTATATTCTCTTTCTAAAATCCACAATCCTTTTATCGAATATATTGAAACCAACAAAAAATTCAATTTCTATCGAATATAGTCGTTTAGAAAGAACTTTAAAATAAAATCCCAGATCGGGGAATTGCTTTTTTGACGACCGACAAAAAAAAACGTGGAAGTCATATAGCTATCAATGTTCCATGTTAAGTATATAATCAAAAAAAAAATGAAGAAAAAAACAAATATTGTACAAATACTATATGATATTGCAAAAAAGTTTTAAACAAAAGGAAATGCTTACTGCCATTGATTTAAATTACGTCCAAATGATTGAAATGAAACGGAATACGCGATGTATTTTTTTGTATAAAAATATGCCAAATATTTTATAAATGTTCAATCAATATAAGTCCATCCAGAAGAAGAAAAATACCAGAACCGAAACAGCGTAACTATTAGATTTATTGTGCATTAAATGGAAGAAAACTACTATATATATAACAATGATAGTTTATTTGATTTATATTGACATGAAAAAAAATCAAACTATTTAATGGGAATCACATATTTACATGGTAGATGTTTTTTAAGATTATTATTGCTATTATTGAATGGAATGTATTAGATTTGCGATTATTGTGCTGCAGCATGCCAAATACAGTTGAAAAATCTCAGGAAAAGAAAAGCGAGAGATACATATATGCACATTTACACCACACAAAATGCATGAAACATTTTAGAGATCTTGGCTGCTTATCTATAAATGTATTGGCACACACAAATTCCATAAATGTATTGACTAGAATACGTGTCATGTTATGATGTTATAAACAAGCTCAATAAATTGAAAATAAAAAATGCATCAAACTTGTTGAAAATTTGCTTAATTAATTCTAATATGACATTGAAGGTAAGTCTGAATTATTTTACAGAAAAGAGAGAACACGTGTGGCTGTGGGTAATAATAGTTTTTTCCAACCATATGATTGTGGAAAAAAACACACACCAATACTTTGAATGAATTTTATACAAAGTTCTATGAATGTTTTAGCACAAAAATAACTTTTGTTGAAGTTTTTCTATCGTCGTGTTCAATAGGTAACGTTGAAGAAAATCTTGAACAGAAAATGTATGGAAATTCGAAAGTAATTCTGAGTAACTAAAGTAACACATTAAAAATTGATGGAGAAGTCATGAAAGTTAATTAAAATGCTTTTTGACTCTTTTTTTCTTGTTCTATTGAATCTACGAATGTACTGGCTCATATAACATGTTAATCCAATGCAAATCCTCCTCACAACACTGTTCGAATGGGGAATAACAATGAGCAAACTCCAAATCACATTGATTTCAATTTATGTCTGACTCTTTCAAACGTATTAAAAGTTGGATGAAAATGACAAACAACATTCGAGTGTTTGGTTGCAAATTACTTTGATAATTTGTGGGTTCATCATGTGAAACATTTTCGTGATATTTTCCAACAGTTCAAAAAAAAGAGATTAGAAATGTGAATAGGATTGAATGGTTGATTGTTGATTCATAGATTCTGGAGTTGACGATTTAAGGGAGGGATAATCGGCAAAAAGATGCTCAAAACCCCTAGAAAAATTGATTTTTTTATCGAGCATGGAAAACCCTAGAAAAATTGAATAATTTTTACGCTCGAGGGGAGGGTATTTTATACCCTGGACCCCCTGATCAGAATCTATGGATTGAATACAACTAAATGCAATTAACAAATGAAAAATATGCCAAAATTTCACATTCACATTTGCGTTGGAAATGTTTCATTTCATTTCATTCTTCAAAGTTTAAAACCTTCGATTTTATAAATAACAAAAGAATTTATAATTTATGTACATAAAAATGTCCATGCCAGAAGTAATGATAGCATTTTATGAATGTTCTGAAATTTTTCAATATTAATAAATTTGTTATAATTAACATGCGCAAGTTGCGATACAAGTGCGTATCTAAAAATGCGTCAATAAACATTAGGTGCTATAGATTTTTTTTGTAATTATGAGATCTCCCCTTAGAAAACAAATATTGATGGTTTAAAGCGATGAAAACACTTTGCAATAATGAAAAAATATGAATTTTTTAAGACGAACTTTTTCATTTCTAATTTAAATTAAACTAATTAAAACGACAAATTGATGACAATACATGAACAAAATGATCGAATATTAAGCCGTCTTACAATGTTTTTTCTACCGACTGATATTGGATTAAAATTCGAATTTGATGGATTTTCTCAGTCATTATGCCATCAAATTCGAATTTTAACCGTTTTATATTCGATTGCAATTTTGATTCGTACTTTCAGCGACAATAATGTCGATATCATTGCAATATTGATACAATCGATGTGCCAATCGAAACCATAATCGTCTTGATCAAACCTTGAACAGGCATACATATTGACACGCATTCAATTTTTCTTGGTGAATCTGCTTTAAGTACTCAATTTTGTAAACAACGGTGCAAGTCAAATAAAACAAAGCTCATTGCATACGTAAGAAGAAGCCTACGTACGATTCTTAATTTAGAAACCAGATAATGACACATTTTGCAATAGCAAAATAAATATGCAAAATAAATGAAACAATTCGATACAGCTTATTCAATGTTCATTAATTTCTTCATGTGTCAATACATTCAGATCATATTTGAAATTATCATGAGTGGGTGGAGCCAAAAAATCAGTCCTTCATAAAAACCAGACGACATCAATAAACAAAAAATAAAAAAAATTCTTCACCCTATTCAGTGTGTATAACTGTCGTTGTTTTTTTCCCTTTATAAAAGATGAAAAATACATTTCGAAAATAATAATTATTTTAAAAACAGATGCGGCTACGTCGCATTTAAAACATTCGGTTATAGATCGTTGTGTATTAAATAGAACGATCATTTGCCAAAGACATGTCACTAGATAATTCAACCTTTGCGATATAAAAACACAGACAATTTTTTGAATATTTTCAAACACGCGCTCCTTTTTAAGTCATTACACGTGCGAATTCTTTTCGCGTTTTTTCCAAACTACCGAAGCGTATATTATCTTTCAGCGTCGTAGTATAAATATCAACAATTTATTGGATGGAGATCAAAGTGTTTTTTCGTCCGAACGAATGACTACTTTCAGCGAGTGAATTAAAAAAAATAACCAGAGTTTGAATCGAATAAAAGAGGAAAAAATAAATTAATAAAAAAATACACGATGAATCCAGCGTATGGCCAATCTAATTCATACTGGAGTGAGTATTTCAATTGTTATCTTTTTTCTGCGAATTTTTCAGAAACTTTGTCATTTTTATATTAAAAAGTCACATCTTCTGAAAATCTATAGTCTAATAATGAAATATAAAAAACTCTGCTTTAGGTCCTACTGCAACCGAATTACAATATTCACCATTGATGCAAACCATACCGACAATGGTCACGTCAACAATAAAAACATCTGACACGACATCGCCTCCATTATTTAGACCCTATAATCATTATCCGCTTATGGGAATTAAACCACATTTTGACATCCTCAAAAACAAAACACACAAGTCTGCATTCAAACCAGTCGTAAAAAAATCAGTGAATAAAAGCATTCAATCAGCCAAATCTGTGAAAGGGCATGTAGTTGAATCGAGCTATTATAATATGCCAAACGTAATTTTAGCAAATGATAACAATTGTTTTCGTTATGGTCAAGCACAATTTCCCATTCCATATGAACCGCTAATCGTTAGTAGAGGATCAAACGGTTTTTCGTCACCCGAGCCTAAACCAACCGTTCCGAATTCAAGTGTGAATGAATCGCATGACATTCCAACAATAGCTTCTGTTAAAACAAGCGAGCCAAAAATTGTGAAAAATTTACCCAAACCCATTGCCGTGTGTCAAAATAACACCATCCGTAAGATATTTTTTTTTTTTTTAAATTTAAAAACGATATAAAATGTTAATATCAAACAAAAATATTTATTGTCTCATTTCCTATGATTTTTCCAGATACTTCAATTGACAATGCATATCAATGGAATCCACTTATACTGTATCCATCAGAACCATTGACAAAAAGTGAAATGATTTTACCGCAAAAAAAGTCATACACTCGCAAACGACGACGAGAATATTGTGATGCTCGACAATGTAAGAACATATTATGCAATTTTTTTTCCTGAATGTCATGAGTCCATGTTGCTAATCAAATGTTTCATAATATAGCTTGTATTGTAAAGGAGAATGAAGTGCCGATCATTGACTTAACATCAAACGAAGATGAATGCACATCCAAACCGCTAGACATTAACGGCAATGAAATACTAATAACAACCAACACAAAACCAGTGGATGTCATTACATGCAAAAAAACAAAGGATTTGAAATTTAATATTTCTGAACAACAACAGCAACATTTACCGTTGCCAATGGAAAAATCAGCAGAAATAACTTCAAACGTATTATCGACGAAGTCAGCTGAAAAGTTAATGAATTCACCGATTTTAATGACAAATCTGACACAAAACGGTTGCCGAATGCCACCGAAAGAGCAACTCAAATTTGTTAACAAATACAATCGGTGGATGCGATATTTTCGTGTTTATAACGGCTTTCGATTTTTTGCCCAACAAAATTATGCATACGCACAACAGCATACAAACAAAACTGATGACACTGTGTTGATACAAAGCACGCTTGTAAAGTGGTGGAACGCATTGCCACCGTTGGGAAAAGAACAATATGCAAAAATGGCCGAAACCATATATCGACACAAACTATCGACGCATACCAATGCAAATGGCGTCACTACAAATATGTCGGCGTCAATGCCGATGCTTCCAATTTCCGATGATTCTGACACGAACACAAACACAGCAAACGATGTACATGTTAATCAGAACAAAACTAGCAGTCGGTGTTAAAGCAAACGATTTTGCGCATACAACTCATTCCTTTGGCAGCACACAAGTGCGATTGATGCAGAGTTCGTTGACAGAAGAAAGTATTAATAAATAAGATTTATATTGTAAGAAGAGCAAAAACAATCAAATCGAAGTAGTTATAATTAGTTTTACGTAAAATAAGTTCCGAATGAATTCGAATTAAAGTGTTGACCATTGAAATAAACGAAATCATAAATTGTTTCTCTAAAACACATTAAATGCCGATTACCGGTTACACCGATTTATATGTCAATTTTCAATAGAAATGAATTAAGATATTAACAAAAGTACACTTGTAATTAAAACGTATCGATCATCGACTCCTTAAAATACATTTGTTTGGTTGCATTTATTCATTTTGCGTGCACAGTGAAAAAAGACAACGGGATTTTGTATCACTTCTTCATATTCAATTCATCGCTAAAGCACACAGTCATATGTCATTCAAACGGATTCAATGCTTGTAAAGTAAGAACATTCATAATCGGCAACAAAATCAATCACACAATTGTCATCAAACAACCATTGTATTTAGCCAAAAAAAATGGACTACCAAGAATATTGTGTGGTTCGACTGAATATGTTGTAATATTGCATCACATTTTTTGGGTGAATAAAAAATAAAATAAAAAATTTTGTTGAAAAGAACAATAAAATTGTGCAACAAAATGGAGTCGAGTAATATGTTCGCGAAAGGCACCGAAATTTACATGAAATGTTTGTGTAAGTAATTGAGAGAATATGAATGATGACTCATTTTCACTACATTTTGAATTAATTTCGGATTGTTGAATTGCTAATTGATTGATACATATTTGATGTATATTCCATTCGTTTAGTTGCATTGCAAGAGCTGAATCCATCTGTTGAAGTTACGACGCCGAATAATACAAGTACGCCGAGCAGCATTCCGTATTATGTTCCAAATTACACACAAGTCAGCCAGCATGTACACAGTCAACCACTCATGTACGTTCCAAATCAATACGCATTGCAATCACAAGTGCCGCCAACCTACGATGGTTCAACGTTTAAGCCAATGAATGCATGGCCACACGATTACGGAATGTTTGAAACGCAAAAACCACCATCAATTGTAACGGACAATCGTTATTATAATCGATATGATCAAAATGTGTACCAATATGATCCGCAGATGGTAAATCAGCCGCCACACATCAACATGATGGAAAATCCAGCAATGGAACCGAAATGGCAATCACAACAAAGCATGCCATTGACTTCAGTTCAAAGCACCACAGTTCCAAACACAACGGATTACAATGATGGTTATCTGGCGACAGCTAATCAGTATATGCCATCGCAAACTTCGGATACCAAAATGATGCGATCATCACCGGTGCCATTCGAATTGCCGCATAACAACGGTCATCAAACATTTGAAGATTTGAATTGTGCAAAAGATAAAAAGAAAATCCGTCGACCAATGAATTCATTTATGCTTTACGCCAAACGTCATCGAAAAGAAGTTCATAAGCTATATCCGATGTGTGACAATCGAACGGTTTCTAAAATTCTCAGGTAAAATGGTGAAGATAATGACGGATCGGTAAATACAGAGCAATTCACAATCTATTTTTTTAATTTGAATGATTAAAATTAAAAAATTAAAGATTAATAAACAATATATAAAATTACTACACTAAAAATTTAAATAAATTTCAGCGAAACATGGTACGCAATGGAGTCGAGTAAAAAGCAAGAATATCATGATTTGGCCAACGAGATGCGTCGAAACCATTTCAAAATGCATCCCGATTACAGGTACTTTTTAAGATTTATCAAATTATATGTACATACATGTGAGCGATGTGTTTGAATCGATTTCAGATGGAAAACAACAAGTGATCACAGTCCGACACAACAAGCGAACGAACGAGCATTTGAATGCAATGCACAGAATGACACCGCAAAAATGCATTCATTCGATTATGGTCAAAAGGATTTATCGAGTCCACTCTCTCCAGTCACACCGTCAACGGAAAACTCATTGAGCCCATTCGCTTACACTGATGACACTAAAAAACCGACAAATGACCCATTCCCAGTTGATGCACAGCCATTTCGTCTTGGTCCAACACCAGCCCAATTAAAACAAAACAAATTACAGGCGAATGCAACAAATGATGACGATAAAATTGTCGACACAGTACCGAAGGAGCAAAACGATTGCGACAAAACCATTGTCACCGAATTGCCACAGCTACATCAGTTCGAAAATCGTTTATCTTTGCTTCCACAATTTGATTTCACAAACTATCGCATCAACAGCGATTGGGATACAAGTCCAACGTCACCTACACGATACAATACGTTCACACGAAAACGAGCTCAGCCATCAAACGCATCAGCAACCGAACAACAGTGCGCTAAAAAGCGTCTAATCGGCGATCGATTCTTCGGGCCAGATTTCAATGTCAACACATTCAAAGGTAAAAATAACATTTTGCGTGTCATTTTCACACTGCAATACTTTTTATTCGGATTCAATCGTTTTCGGTTCGATTAGATTTGGATGCGCATTCGAACAATTCATCGCCGGCCACACCAACATCAGCTGAAGATTCGCGAATAATGCAAGATCTTATTTTTAACAAGAGGAAGCGAATTCTGATGGATCAACGGAAGATGCTCATAATGGATTTATTCCGAAAATGCGGCACATTCTTTCCAGCACCGAAAGATCTTGATGACTTTTTGGTAAGACGCTCTTGAGTTAAACTTCATCATCATCACCTTTCATGTTTTGCATCTATTTTTCATTTTATTCGGTGCACAGGAAGAGCATATGCATCTGTTTGGATCCAAGGGTTTCCTGAACATCAAAATTCGTGAATACCGCCAAAAGCATATGCAACATCAATCACCACAATAAATCATAGAATAGTTAACACTGTTTCAATTCGCTTAAAACGCGATAATTCTGTAAAACATTTGTGTCGATATTTGCAAATCAACACCAAGGAAGATACATTATGATACCGTTATTACCGTTGTACTGGCATCAATATTATTATGTTTATATTATTTTTTTGTTTACATTTTGCTGAAAGTAAATTTCCAAATGTTATTAGTTGTTTTTTTTTAAATATTGAAATTAAGAAAGTTAGCTATAAAAAAAAAACAAAATAGATCAAAATGTGCGTCCGTCGTTTTGATTGTAAAAAAAATGAAGATATTTACCGTGTATCCTTTGTTAGTTGAAACGATTACGTTAGTATTGTTATTCACGGGTTTAGTTTTGTTTTAGAACAAATTCAATTGGTCAATGAGAGATGAATACGATACTAACGCCATTGTAGTTCGTTCATCTCATTTTCAATCGTTTATATTTTGCATTGCAAAGTTCAAAATAAATCGTACCTCCTTGTTTGATCGCAAATAATATAAAATAAATAAAAAAATATATTTATTTTTTTTTGTTCGAAAATATTGAATTTATTTGACTTTGGTGAACAATCATCATATTGAATTATCACCGTGAGTATCGATAATATGTCACATTTCAATGACTCATCGAGAACAAAGAATCTTTATCAAAGAAGTAGATCATGTTTTGGATTCTTTATGAAAACCTGTTTGTCAATGGAAATTTTGAAAAGGAATTATTCGAAAGGTGTTTACATAAAATAAAATTCTTAACCATTTGTTATTTAAAATTCTTACACGGCAAGATGATATATTCAAACTTTTTCAACGATTTGCTGAATAATTTTCATTCTGCTTTTTCAAATTAAGCGAACCTATAAAGCGACTGAATGGAATTTTTGAATCAGAATTAATTTCATCAATGTTTAAATTGCACAAATTAAACAAAAATGAATAAAAGTAAGCGAATTATAAAGCCCACACTTTGACAGAGTCAACAATTAGCGAGCTATCGTCGTCATTGAAATGCCATGATGGTTGCCATTGTTCACGATGAATCCAGAAGTCTTTCATCGCTGTTTCGGAAGTATTATTCCATGGCTTTTTTGACTTTCCTCTATTTGAATCAGGAAAGTAACCATTTGTACCGCCAACCGCAAGGCTTATGATGAAATAAAACTGACGAATAAGAAAACTTAAAAATTAGCACACACATTGAAATGAAAAACATTAAATTAGATTAAGCTGGACGA